GTAAAGTGTCAAGTATTGTGGGACGGATAAAAATGAAAACTGTGTCAAGTATTATGGGACGGAAAGAGTATATTACGGGGTGAATTCAAATTTTTTTATTGACAAGGATTCAAGAATTTTGAAATCAAAAGGTTTACGGAAATCAAATTTATAGGAAAAAAAAATACTGTACATAAGTATGATCCTAGTAATCATTATATTGTTGACTAATATCAATGATCGTCGAATGAGTGTAAATAATGGAAGTATATTTAAAGTATATTGGAGAGAAATAATTTGTAGATCCAACTCAAAGTCAAATAGTTGTGCATGGGATTTTTTTTTTTTTTACACAACAAATAAATTAAAAGGTAATAGCATTGAAAAATTAAAAAGACAATTCGGTGACAGGCTAAATTTTTTGGCATGCTATAGAGAAAACGCAAATTATCTTCATGTTGGTTGAATATATAGCAGATCCCATGCAACTTTTGAAATCTCCTAAGCAACTTTAACCTTTTTTCAAAGAGGTATATTGTGAATATCATGCCATATAACTTTGGACAAAAAAGTCATTATTTTTTGTATGTAATGTAAAGTGCTCACCTAAACATAATTGTCATCATTTTAGACATAAGACAAACAAAACTCAAATATTTAAAAATTAGCTACTCCTATTTTCTTTACGTTGATAAAAGTTTATTAGCACAACACATCACAAAGATTTGAATTCGATATTTACAATCAATATGTACTCCGTACTCTGTATGTTTTTGCTATTGAAAATATCCTGTATTTAGTACATATACGAGCATACGACATCCATGCCCAATCCATGACGTTTGATATGTACTTATTAGTATTCATCATCTTTAAACTGTTGCCATGCATGCATTAATATGACCATTACAAAATAAACTAAGTCATGAAGTATTATCAACTTTTATTAGTTTTTTACTTCATTTTTGAATTTGGAACAAGAGCTTTTTTTTCACCGCTTTTATTTACACAGTTTTCCATTAACTTTGTAAACAGTTAAACACATTGGAGGCTTTTTCTCAGCAACTGCTTCTCATGGTTGGGTCAGTTTGGGGGAAAATAAAGCTGAAAAAAAAAATATGGGGAATATATTGGACCGCTACAATTTTCTTTTTTAAAAAAGGTTATTTAAGAAAACTAATTAAAATGTATTAAGGGAACTTTTGGGAAAAGGAAATTAAATTTTTAGGAAAGAACATGACAGTACAATCCAGTGGCGGAGTTAAGATTTGTAATCCGAGGGAGGGACAAATTTTAGATGTTTAATAATCGACAAAAAGTTTAAGAAAAATATTTCATCAGATAAATTGTTTAATATATATTTGAAATCGCGTATGAGATATGACAATTATTCTTATATGGCAAAAGAGGAGTTGTTAAAAGATTCATTGCATATTAAGAAAATTATTAACCAAAAAAATAATTTTTTGGTTGGTAAACCCCAATTTTAAGGTATGTAATCCCCAATAATCGATAAATACGATTTATCAAATAATAAGCATTAAACAAATTGATAGTAGATGTAAAGGGATTTGGGTTACATTAAAAAAAAAAAAAAAAAAACTTTCTTTGACTAAAAATAAAATTGGAAACTTAGTTCCAAACATTTAATAAAAATAAAGGAAATTTTGTCAGAAATAACCTTTTTAAAGCGTCCACTTTATTTAAAATAACCTTTTAATTTTCTTTTTGTAACTTCATACCACATTATAAATTTTTTTTTGTCAAAGACAAGCTAATGTTACTTTCCAGCGTTGACTCTATTTTTTCCGGTGTTGACCACGAGCGTGCGAGGCACGTGACCTCTTATATTGCTTAATACACCCCTTTTCCCTTCCAATTAACTCTTATTAAAACCCCTGCTTTTCTCTCATTCCTCTTTTTCGATCAATAGGAAAAAAAATTCTAGGGTAAATTCCTCTAAAGTTATCTGAATCTGGGATTTCAAGTTTTCAACCAAACAATTCATCAATTTCAAACCAGGTATCGTAGTTGCTGTTGTTTAATTGTTTGTTTCTTTTTGTGTGATTGGTGTTTTTGAAAATTAGGGTTTTTTTCCCCCAAATTTTTGAAATCGAATTAATTGACTAAGGATGTTTCAATTAAGCAGCATTCATGGTTTATCTGAAGGATATCAGGTGCGCTTGTGGTATCCCTGTTGCTAAGAGGACCTCGTGGACTCATGATAAAATTCTACGCTTGTAAGTTTTACAACCATGGAACTGATCAAAGGGGATGCAACACGTAAAGCGAGTTACCTGAGCTTTTTGTATTATTCAATAATTGACCCTCAATTTCCAAGAAGATGACACAGCTTTCTTCATTTCTTTATCTTTAACCATGGTAGCAAATGTAAAACAAAAAATAAAAAATAAAAAAAAAATAGTGAAGAAGCGAAAATAGGAGAAAGTTTGAACCTTTAAACTAAATTGCATAAATGAATTCTTATTGTATTTGGGAATGAACACTTCATTAATGGAAGTAGCAGCAATAGAGAAGAATTGCAGATGGTATTGATGGTGAAAGGTGATTTTTGTCTCCAAAATTGAATGAGAGAGAAGTAGAGGTTTTAATTAGATTTAATTGAAGGAAAAAGGGGTGTATTAAGCAATATAAGAGGTCACGTGCCTTGCACACTCATGGTCAACATCGGAAAATTAGAGTTAACACCGGAAAGTAGCATTAGGTTGTCTTTGACAAAAAAAATTTTATAATGTGGTCTGAAGTTACAAAAAAAAAATTTAAAAGGTTGTTTTAAATAAAGTGGACACTTTAAAAGGTTGTTTCTGACAAATTTTCCAAAAAAAAAAAAATTAGAATTTAGGCACATAATTAAAGAGATTAAAAAAATACAGAGACATGTGTTCATTACAAATAGTTTAATAACACATTAGTAATCACTATCAACAAGACGGTACTTGATTAATAGTTAAATGAGGGTAGTTAGAGGTTTGAAGACTTATAATACTTTGTATATATAAATTATGTACTATAAAATGAAATCCAAAAACAAGTAAAAAAAAACAAAAGGACAAAATCCAAAAACAAAAAAAAGAAGTTAAATGGGAGCACTTTGTATAAACTATAAAATGAAATTAAAATAAAGAATGATTGGCTAAAGAATCGAACCTGGGATCAAAGAGAAAAACAAGCATTACTCAAGCCCATCAACCACCAAACCACATGTTGTCTTTGTTGTGTTGGCTGTACATGTAATGTATTTATTCTTATTTTTAGCATCTGTTTAAGCTAACGTAAAACATTTCGAAAATGGGGGGACAACTGTCCTCCCATGTTCCTACGTGGCTCCGCCACTGGTACAATCAACTAACTATTTTGGTTTGGCAACGGATAAACATAACTTAGAAAGCACTTTAATTTATAGAAATTTTGAGTATTTATTTGAAGGTATTTATTTATACTAGTAGTACTCCATATTAACAAGAAAGAGAGAAAAGGAAACTTGAAATTTTTATGAACGGTAAATATAAGGGATAGAGGTGCTGCGTTAGTAAAAATTAAAGAGAGGTTGCATTTAACAATTCCCTGTTATTTTAACAAATTCAACTCAAACTCCTTAAAATCCATGCCGTCAAATTATTGTGCTAAAAAAAATGTAGGGAACACATATTTTAAGACCAAATAATTTACATGTAAACTTAAAACAACCCTACAAGAAATGAAAGAGGACAGACCTATGCAAAGCTATTACAGGGGACCAAATAAATGGTAAAACTACTGTAGTCTTATCTAGCATCCAAATCTTTCAAATGTTTACCAACAAGACAATAAAGGTGATTTAATTAATGATAATGAAGTCACTTCCAACACCAACTCACTCACCCTTTTTATTTTATTATTATTATTATTTTTTTTTAAATTTTGGGTGTGTGTGAAATTGAAACACATATTTACTATTTCCTCCGTCTCATACTCCGTAATGTACAATACTTATTTGGAATTTTTACACGGCAATTAAGAAAATTGTTGATTTCTTAAAACTAATGATTAAAAGTACATATGTGTAAGTGGGTTTAGAGAGAGATAGAGAGAAAGAAAAATAGTTGGAAATAATTAAAGAGATAGAGAGAGAAAGTGTTGGAAATTGATGTCAAAATAAAGTACAAAAAAGAAAAGGAAAAAAGATAACTCATCAAAAGTACAACCTTTAAATAGAAAGGGGCATTGTATTTTGGTTTACTCAAAAAGAAAAAGAGACATTGTATTATGAGACGAAGGGAATACAAATATGGGGTTGGGGATAAAAATATTACTCTTACAATTATGGCTATGTTTCATCATAATTCTCTTCAAAATCGAAAATATATTGCAAACAGAAAAAACTCCAATCATACAATTTTTTTTTTCAAAAAAAAAAAAAAAAAAAAAAACCTCTTATTTCCTTTGGAAAACCTAAATACACCATTTATCAAATAATACGAGTATTAAAAACCAAAAAAAATAAGGTTGCGCAACAATCAACATAGGGAGCGATGAATTTGTTTTTCCTTAACAAGGTTTAACCAACTAGAATTTGTAATTTTATTTGGCTCTTTGGGTCCCAATTGTTAATCTAAGTCCGATTGTAACTAAAAATGACATAAGGCTCTGGTGATAAGTTAGGAAGCGCAAATTTTTGACACAAAGGTAAGAAAATGAGATGTTTCTCACTATGATAATTAATGGGTTTTCCCACGAAATTTACATATTATTTCCAATATTAATGCAATTTGCAACCTTACTATAACAACCTACAATAAAATAAAATATGCCATAGTAATCTATAGTGTCCTCCATGCACAATTATCTAAGATCCTAACTAACCTTATCACAACAAAAATATTTTTCTAATTTCAATGCATGGAGTCTAGATTAAAGAAATTCCATGATTAAAAAAATTTGATATTGTAATACGAAATTAAACTATTCTTGCTAATGAAAAACTAGATAAACAATTAGAGTTTTTGTATTATAATATCAAAAGCTAATTAATAGTAATGGACAAAAATATCATACATACATACAATAATTTCTTACTCCAACTACTCTAATAGTGAACTATACCATGAATTTTACTAATAATTAAATAAATAAAACTTGATAATTAAACTATTTTCTTTCTACACAAAATTATTTTTGGTGCCTTAAATCAAACCAGATTTGCTTAAAAACCTTAATAATAACTTCATGATACTCATCTGAATTAAGAGAAAGATAACACGCTAATAAATCTTCCAAATCTTTTGAAGCTTTTAGATTATTTTGCACAATCATTTCCACCATTGATTCTTTAAAATCTCTTTGAGGATCAAATGAAGATTTTACCACTGCAAAACTCTCTGAAATACTTCTTCTCTTCTTTGAACCTGTGCTCTTTCTTCCACTTGGATAATTCCCATTTTTCCCCTGTTTTCTTCCCATTATTCTTGGAGAATTGATCTTCAATCTTACTCCTCTTTCCAATGGAAGTCTCTTTGGAGGAGTGTTGATCCTCTGTTCTTTCGAAACCGGAGCAGTAATCAAATTTTGTTTTTCGTTTAGATTTCTGGGTTTTACTTCATGTTTGGTGATAATTGGAGGGAGTTTGAAATCGAATGTGGTAATTTCATTGAATAAAAAGTTTTTATCGACATCGATTACGATATCGTAATCCCCTGTTTTATGCTCTGTTTTGAGCAGCGTATCTTCAAACTGGGGAGGAGAAGATGGAGAATTTGATTTAGAACGATATGATTGATAAGTAACTGTTGATTTACAGCTACTAGAGGAGATTGAATTTGTTCTTCTGCTTGATTTTCTTGATTTTGAAGATGATTTTGATTTTCTTGGAGGAGTATGAGGAAGAAAGTCTAGTTCTTGAGGTGGGGTATTGTTGAAATTGAGCTCTCTTGTGATATGGTATGATTTTCTAGGTTGGCATTGAGGTTCGGGGTTCGAAACTTGCGACGGATCAATGGTGGTTTTGATGGTAGATGCCGACACCGGTGGCGGGAGGAGGTGGTCTTTTTTAAGCTTTGGGGGTTGAGATTTTGTAGATTTTGCTGTGTTTTCTCTCATTTTGTTAAACCAAGCATTTGGGATCATATCTGATAGCTTAAATTTCTGATTACCCATAATTTCCTCTGTTTACTTACTCTGTTTTCCTCTGTTTTTTGGGTACTCTGTTTTTTATTTTGGGTGCTCTGTTTTTAGTGGGGTTGAGAAAGGGGTTAAAGAAAAGTAAAGAGTGGGGGAAAATGGGTAGAAGAAAGGTGGGTTTTTGAAATTAAATAGAAGGGAGGGAGAGTATATTTTTGGGGTCCACAAAGGTTGAAAAAAGTGGCACAATGTAGGAGTGAGAGAAGAAGGAGAAGAAGAGGGTGAGGTGGGTGCATGATTTTCGTGGATTTTAGAAAGTGTGTTAGTATAATACCGGAGTATAAATTTTTTTTTGTATGGAATTTATTTAATTTTTTGTGTTTCATTTTGACCACTTTCTATTTGTTTGTATCTTTATTTGGTTATAAAAGCTATAAATAACCATTACCCTTTTCTCGTCTTAAATTTTTGCCATTTTTGTGAGATAAAGTGAATCTAGACTTGTGAGATTAACAATTTAACATGTAAGAGTACCATACATTTTCAAAATAAATAAATAAATCAATAAATAAATGTAAGAGTACCATACATCTTAATCAACATCCTTAAAAAAAAAAAAAATTCAACATTTACCTAAATTTGTTAATGTTTGAATAGAAAATATTGAACCAATAAAAATTGTAGGGTTAAGGTTTAGATCATAATTCTTTTTGTTACCTTTAAATAATCAATGTAAATTATGTCTAATGCTATTTTAAAAAAATGAATATCGTCTGAATTTATTTATTATAACTTTGTAACTTAAAGTTAATTATAAACTCGAATTGTATCAAGTTTAATGTATGCACTGATAGATCTAGAGGAGTACATAAAGGCACTGAGGTATAGTACCCCCATTCTGCCATAAATAAATAAATAAATAAAATAAAATCGATAACAAAGAGGTCGGTTGTAACATATGACCAGTCTTTTAGATACTATTATATAGCTAAACCGAGTCCTTAGACTAACTCACTTTACTTTCTCGGCCAAATAGACCAATTGTTACAAATAAGCAGTTTATTAGGTTATTCCTTTTTTTTTTTTTTTACCACAAATATATTCATTTACTCATTTATATACCTAATTGTCGAAGGATGGGAACATTGTACACACGAAGACTAATATAATAGTTAAATGAATTAATAACTCGAATTTAGTTGGCAAAAAATGATAATACTCCACATATTACTTTCTATTTTTTTTCTTAAGATTAATTTCGTACCTCCTTATCTAAATTTCTGGATCCTTCACCATGTTAATGTGTCTAATATTGATTAAATTGATTCAATTAAGGCCTTGTTCACTTCACCTTATTTTTGCTGAACTGAAATTATTTTTACTGATTCTCTATTATAATTTTTCATTAGAGAAGCTGATTTTTATTAAACTAGAATTATTTTTACTAAACTGAACTTATTTACTGAACATGACCTAACTTAATTGATTATAAGCTTGTGTATAATCCCACACAAGACTCAAATCAACATAGGATTGAATATATTCTATAAATACGGGTTGGATGAAATGGACCTGAAAAAACCTAAATCCAAAATACATTGCTTACACTTGTAAGTGAAATTCTTTCATCATAGAGGTAGAAAACTAGACGCATCTTTCTTGTAGAGTTGTAGGAGCTGACCATCGAAGTCCCAATTGCAAGATTATTGTGGATAAACAAGGACCACTAGGTCCACAATCAAGAAACCATAATTATTTATCTTTTTCTTTGTGCAAATTCCTCTTTTCAGTTTTACGACAAAGGTAATTTTTTTTTTAGCCATGGTAAAGCAAGTGATGGAGCATGGAGGTACTCATGTATCAATTATAAATCATAGACTTTGTCTTGCATGATATAAAGTGTAAGTGGCTTAATTCTTTGAAAAAGAAAGTTGATCTAACAATTTTAACGATTGAGTTTAAAAAGTTGATGGGGATATTCCAACCTTGAATTCTAATTATTTGAACCTTTTGATTCAACAATTTTATGATCAAGTAATATCATACTTTGTAATTGATATAATAACTAGACCAGATCACCAAATATTAGCTCGAAAGAGCGAGTTGAAGTTTGCAATTTATCATGATTTGACACATATAACTCGTGATTTATCTATATTTTTTAAAACTGAAAATAAGTCAAATAATTTAATATTTACATTCATGACACCTAATTAATACTTTGTAGAGATTAGTCCAATAAAGATTGAACACTCTTAATAGTCCACCATAGGTTGGATTTGGACCAACAAATTAAACATCCAATCACTTTTTCCATACACATGAATCGGATAGTGATATACGTGTTTTATACAATGGTTTTCCCCGGTTTTACTTAGTAATTTTATATGGTTTTGAGCTCTACGGAGCCATTTCTTGCTAACAATCTCTTCTTTAGTGTATTCGATTGTTTTAGTAAGCTTTTCAGGAATATGAAGCGTTTCTAGGCAATTGGACGTGTTTTTAGTAGATTCGGAAGAGTTGATAGCCAAGAACTGCAATTTATGTGGAGTGCCCGACCGGGCATGGCTTGCCCGGGCAGACCGGGCAATGAAGAGTTCACAGGAAGAAGCCCAATTCTGAACGGTGCAACGCGCGCCCGATCGGGCAGGCTTCGCCCGGTCAGACCGGGCGATGAAGAAGTCAAGTTATGAAGATGCAATTCTGGAAACGTGTTACGCGCGCCCGACCGGGCGAGGCTCGCCCGGTCTGACCGGGCAAAGAAGGAAAACTGTCGTATTTTACGCAGCTTTCCTCCGCCCGATCGGGCGAGGTTTGCCCGGTCTGACCGGACGATGTTCAAGATTGCGCGATTTCAGCTATTTCCGAATTTCTATCTTTTGAGGGTATAAATACCCTTTTGTAATTAACTTTTAAAGGGAGTTTTTCATTAGTTTTTCTCCTTAAGCCCTAGAAAACTCTCAAGAACCCTAGTTTTATTTCCTTTAAGCAATTTCAATCTTTTAATCCCAGATTAATCAATTGTTCATCAACAATTTGAGTTCTTTCAATTGGAGTAATTGGTATTTATCTTACTTCACTCTTTTCTGATATTCACTGTTCTCTAAATATGTTTTCTTTACTGTTTCTTGTTTTTGAACTTGATTTTGATTTTATTATGATGTGTGAGTAGTTTCCTTAATCCGGGATCTTGCTAAGCCCGATTATGATTGATGTATAAAGTAGATCTTTAAATTCCCCAATAATAATCCCAATTGACATGCTTAATTGATTGTGTTTATGCCAATACTAGATTAGGAATAATTAGTATTGTTATCATCCCTTTGTTCTTATTGCAACGGAAGTTGGGTATTAACGGGATTAGGTTATTCCAATTAAGGGTTTGAAGATCATCACGGAAGTAGATGATTGAATAATTAGGAATCTAGGCATGGTGTTTAATGTCCCTTATTCGCTTGATTCCACGGAAGTAGGCTTGATAGTTAATTTGGGAAGCCATTGATAACTTGGAAGAGACCTTTGGTATTATTATTAGGGATTGCTTTTCTTCTTGTCAATTGATTTATATATTGGGGGTAGATTTATTAGTTTATCAATCATAATCGTGGTAATGCTTGATCTTGGATGCTTTAGTTTATTGATTAATATTTCCTCTAGTTAATTGTGTTATTTAATATATTAGTTGATTATTATCATCCATTATTGATTGGTGACGTGCTTAGTGATTAATTGAGTCTGATTAATTGAATGAACCATAGTCTCTTGGGATTCGATCCTTACTTGCCCTACTACACAGTTAGAAGGAATAGTTAGGTTATTTTTGTTAGGTACGCGATAAGCCTATCAAATTTTTGGCGCCGTTGCCGGGGACTAACGGTTTCATATTGATTTTCCGTGATTCGTTTTTACTAAGCGTTGTTTGTTGCTTCGGCTATTGCCTCCTGTGTTTTTGATGTTCTTTGCCTAGTTCTTTGTTGTATGCAAACACGTCGCTCAGGGTCAGACGACTTAGTGCCTCTCGATTCAGAAATTGAAGCGACTGCAAGAAGACGAAGAAGTAGAAGAAGAGCAGGTAACAGAAATATGGAAGACCAAGCAACAAAGTCTCTTTTGGAGTACGGTATCCCTGACACAACAACCGGACTCCTTTCTAGCATTGTTAGACCACCTATCACCGCTCAGAATTTTGAATTGAAACCGCAGTTTATTCAATTCATATCCAATGATTCATTTGCTGGCACACCTCTTGATTGCCCAGTGAATCATATAGATGGTTTCTTGGAAAAGTGTGACACTATGAAGCTGAATGGTGTTACAGATGATGCTCTTAGACTTCGCCTTTTTCCATTCTCATTACGGGATAGGGCGAAGGAATGGTTAAGAGATGAGGGTTCTGGTTCCTTTGATACATGGGATAAACTAGTAAAAGCTTTTCTGGTCAAGTTCTTGGGACAAGAAAAGACTGCAAGATTAAGGAACGAGCTATCCACTTTCAGGCAATCAGATGAAGAATCCTTATATGACGCATGGAGGAGATTCAAGAGATTACAGAGACAGTGCCCTCATCATGGCATACCTGAATGGATGTTAATCCAAACCTTTTATAACGGTCTAACCCATGAATTCCGGATCTATATCGACGCCGCATCTGGAGGCTCCCTTTTAACTAAAAATCCAACCGAAGCAAAGGAGCTGGTTGAGAAGATGTCAGCCAATGACAACTATCACCCAGGCGGCCGAAATAGTGTCAAGAAAGGAGGTAAATTAGATGTTGATGCTCTAACTCTTTTAACTAGTTCTGTGCAGGCACTTTCAAGCAAGTTCGATAGATTACAAACTGGATCTTCTAATAATGTGCTAGAAACTTGTCAAATGTGTAATACTCAAGGTCACATCGCACCTAATTGCCCACGAAATTCGAATGAGGTATCAATTGAGGAAGCCAATGCCTTCTACAATTCCAACCCTAAAAGACCATACGATCTCCATTCTAATACTTATAATGAAGGTTGGAAGAATCACCCAAATTTCTCATACAAAAACACCCAGGCCCAGCAAAATCCACCTCCGCCCCCACCTCGAAACAACAATTATAATCCACCTGGTTTTCAACCAAGACCACCCCTAGTACAACAACCCATGCAACCTATGCAACCATTCCCTCAAAAATCCAATCTCGAACTAATGATGGAGAACTTCATCAACACCACAAATAATTCCATCCAACAGTTACAAGCCCAGAATAAGCTCATGGAAAATCAAATAAGCCAACTTGCTCATCAAGTCGGCCAATCTTCAAAAACACCAGGTACGTTTCCTGGCCAAACAGAGCAACCACAAAAGGGGCACATGAATGCTGTAATTTTAAGGAGTGGAAAACAGTTGGAAGACCTTCCCGTAAGGGAACCATCAACGATAGATATTGAGGGAATGAGTGAAAAACAGGGGATTTTGCAAAATTCTTCTTCGCCCGGTCAGACCGGGCAATGTCCGCCCGATCGGGCGCGAGAAGCAGTCGACGAAAAACAGGGGACTGTGCGAATTTCTTCTTCGCCCGGTCAGACC